TATTTGCAATAACTTGAGTCAGCACTGCACTGTGCATTCCCTGTGTTCAAGTTTCAGCACAGTCATTGCCAACTGCACACTGATGTTTGCTTGCTGTTGAGTGATGGGTGCATGCCCTGGTCTGGATTGGGTTGTTTAGAGGCCTGCTGCCATGATGGTGCAGGGCAGGAAGAAGACACAATATGTGACGGTCTGGGCTGTAGTCTAGACATGCCTGCCCTAACTGGATCAACTAGTACTGCAGCTGACTACAGACGCACAGAAATGTAAAGCTTTAGTGTGGGGAAGATTCAGACACTCAATCTTCATCCCTAGCAGCCAGCACACAGGCTGTGATCAGTGAACGTGCCTTAGATGTGCAAGCAGAGCCCCACACTTGGCTCACCTTTGGCAATATCCACAGCAGTTGGCTTCAGGGACAAAACCTGCCAGTGTCACATAGTCCAGCCTGACGTCATCCAGGGATGATGCTTCCACTACATCTTGGTGCAACCATTTCCAGTACCTTGCCACCTTTATTACAAGAAAGTTCCTCCTTTTATTCAATTTAAATCTTCTCTTATTTCATTTGAAAACATTTTTCTCTTGTCCTATCACCACAGATCCTGAAAAAGAGTCCATCCCCTTCTTTCTTACAGTCCATTTAGATACTGAAAGTCTCCTATGAGGTCTCCCAAGAGCCTTCTCTTCTCCAGGCTGAACTCTTTCAGCCTGTCCTCTTAGGAGATGTGTTACATCCCTTGGATCATTTCTGTGGCCCTCCTCTGTATCTGCTCCATTTCTCTCCTGTACTGACATCTAAGCATCTGGATGCAGTACTACAGGCGAGGTCTCACCAGCACAGAGTAGAGGAGCAGGATTATCACCCTCAACCTGCTAGCCACTCCTTTTGGTGCAACCCAGGATGCAGTCGGCATTCTGGGCTACAAGGACACATGTCCAGCTTCCCATCCAGCAGTAGCCCAAAGTCCTTTTCACCAGGGCTGTGCTCTATCCTTTCATCCTTCAGCTTCTATTGAGAAAGGGGATTGCTATGACTCAGGTGAAAGCCTTGCAATTGGATTTGTTGGACCTGACAAAGTTCTCCTGGGCTCTCTGCTCAAGTCTGCCTAGGTGTCTCTGGATGGCATCCTATCCCTTGGGAGTCTTGATCTCACAACACAGCTTGGTGTCATCCACAAACTTGCTGAGAGTGAACTTAATCCCATTGTCAATGTTATTAATGAAGATATTAAACAGCACCAGTCCCAGTAACCTGAGGGACACCACTCATCACTGACCTTCATTTGAAGCCACTGACCACCACTCCCTGGTTATGATCTCACAATCTGTTCCTATTGAACAGTCCATCCATAAAATCCACATCTTTCCAATTGTGGAGGACCTTGTAAAAGGCCTTATAGAAGTCCAGATATACTACATCATTGACTCTTCCGTTGTTCTTTGACACAGTTATGCCATTATAGAACGCCAGTATCTTGTTCAGGCAGCATACTTCCCATGGGAGGCATCCTGAAAATACCACCTCATGGCTGAGAGCAAGGTGAGGAAGAGAGGAATGATTTATTTTCTGAGGAAGGAAGGAAGAATTCATGACTTGAGAAAGGGAATTGACACAAGGAATAAAACTTGTCAAAAAATGAAATATGATCTTTTGACTATATGAGGAAGCGGACCAAAGTGTCTGAGGATGAAAGCAAAAGCTACTATTAACAGTAACTTTCTATCCTCAAAATGAGACATTCAGCTTTCAAGGTGGATGTTTAGATCCTGAAATTAAACTCTGGATGCCAAAATGAATCTTTGGACCTTCCCATTGGCTGCTTGAACACTGAATGGAGGTTTTGTCCATGAAAAGGAGAGGTTAATTAGGCTTTGAGCACTAAAATGCTGTGTTTGGTCATAAAAAGGGGGGTTCTGAACTCTCAAATAGTTTTACTTAGTACTGCCTCAAAGAACCTTCCATCTGTCACCATCCGTCACAAGGAGCCTTTCCACCAAGATCATGAGAAAGATCTCTCAGATGGAAAAAGTTCTGAGGATGGAAAAAAGTGGTGAGGAAATGTCCCTGACACAGATGGGAATCATACTCCTATTTTACAGCCTCAGGCTATCATCCAAAATCCAGGAAGAAAACTCTCTAACTCCAATGTGGTGTTAGAAAGCTGACATTCCTTAATTCCTCATGATACATGCCAGGCAACTTGACAAATCAGGCAGCATACTCAGAGTTCAATTAAGTGATCCATTTGCTGATGATTTTTCATGATTTTTTAATTTATACATCGGTCAACAATAATTACATTATTCAACCAGTTTCTTCCACTTGAGTGGATCTCCTCCAAACTTTCTCCGGTGTTCGATAATGCATCCTAATGCTGAGCAATTAGGTCCTTCAACAACTGATTGCCCCCTCAATGTCTAGAATGTCTGGAATGTGCTAATTCACGTGCTGTAACAAACACACACGCCACAACTACAAGAATAAAGAGTAAAGCTTAACACAATCTACAGATTCAAACCATACACACAACACAAAAAATAGAAAACTCAGCACCATTACAGCAATACTCATGTACATGTGCTCATATATGAAATTATAATGGTGGCAACCACAACACAACCCAATTACCAGTAAGTGCTTCAGTTTCTCGTAGGGGAGCTTGCATCTCTCAAGTACCACTTTACCAAAGTAATTAGGGGGACATTAAAACATTCTTGTCCTTTAACCCAGGGACTTAAATTGTAGGCTCACTATATATAGGGGTGCACCCCTTGATTGTGTATGATGGGTACACTATCTACCCCTGCTCTGGGATCCCATCACACTTGCTCTCTGTATACGATATGCATTTCTGTCATGATATACTGGGGACAGTAGAAAGAATGCCTTACCATATTCCAGGGAAATTGCAGCCAGACCCAATGGGGTTGGGATAGGGGGAAGAATCACTTGATATGCACGCTGAGTGGAAGTTCCCTCCAGTCCTTCAGTTCACAAGATCTCTGTAGCAGAGTCCCATCTGGGTCACCAAAACTGTCATCCAAAATCTGGAAAGAGAACTCTTATTCCAGTATAGTATTAGAAAGTGGCATTCCTTTATGCCTCATGATATGTACCAGGCAATTTGACAAAACAAGCTTGTGTGCTTAGAGTTCAAGTTCTACAATTAAACAGTTAAGACTTACATTGGCATAGACATCATTCTTTTACAAGAACTCATTAACATATGATAATGTCCTTTGAGCACGCACATTGTGGCCTCTGGTGGTCTTAAGACCACGTACTTCATCCCCTTTATTTCAGCTTCAGCTTCTTCTCCATGACCCTTGGCCAACTTTCTGCTGTTTTTTCTCAGTTTGGCATATTTCTATTGCTTGTTAGGCCATAATAAGCAACTTCCTCTCTTAGTGCACTTGAATCTAAAACAATATATGTGAAATTTAAGGAAAAACTCCTTGCACATGGTGGATGGAAAGATAAAAATAGTCTATTGTGATTCTAGCGCTCCTGTGAAGCAGAATCGCTGAGAAAAACAAGGCTGTTGACACAACAAGCAAAGTTAAACTGGAAAGTTTTAGAAGTAGCACTTGCTGATTTCTTATGATAAACCAATATATTGGTCTTAAAACTAATATAGTAATCCCTATTGCTAAACCACACAAGCAAAGCTAAAATGGAAAGTTTTAGAGCCAGCACTCATTGATTCATTTGGAGAAAATATGATACTGATCCCTGTTGCTAAACCAGCTATATCATTATGAATCAGCCACATTACCAAGCCTCCTGAAGGTCAAGAACTGTTAGGCTATGCTCCCAGACATAAGGTTTAATGTGTTGAGACTGCAGGTGGACTCATTGACTTCTGTGGATCAGTTCTATCTCAGGATATCCAGTGATTCTGTGTATCTATGCTTTTCAGAGAAAAGAAGATTCTTTTCAAAGTATTAGTCTGGTTCTCCTCAATTAGTGTAGCTTGAAGGCAAGGAGTAGGAGAGATGACATCAACAGTCTAGCCATTTTCAATGGATTTTGCCATTTTCAAGAGAAGGGTGAATTGCCAAACTGTGAGTTTGTTATTTCATCACAGACCTCACTTTTAGCTAATGGGTAATTCCAGCTCAGAAGAACTTACTAGAAATTGTCTTAAGGCAGGCACAGTGTGTGCTATGTAAAGAAAGACTCACTGTTGGAGTGAGAGCTGGCATCCAGACCAAGTCCAGACCCAAGAGTGGCCTGACTGAAGGCTCCACCCAGTCACTGCAGTGAACCAACAGGGAGCCTGGCCAAGCCAGGAAGTCAACAGAAGGCCAGGAATAACATAGGCTGCCATTTATCAAGATTCCCATTCACATGATGTGCTCCAGGGACATATCTAAACATAGACACATAAAGGTAAGGACTGAGCCATTGATTACAGACTAACCAGGGATGGCTTCCTCTGCTTTAAAAGAGGATGCCTGAAAGATGAAATCTCAGCAGTGCGCACTGGCCTCTAATACCTAGAACAGTGATGGAGTCTCCCCAGACAAAGCCATGGCTTTCTACTTTGACCACCTATATGCAGGTGGAAAAATAACATGGCAGGACACACGAAAGAATGCAGGAAATGTTTAATGGGTCTGAAGAGGGAAATGGTGTAACCCCAAGTGCATACACCAAGTGTGGGGAGCAGCAGGAACAGGCAAGAATCTGTTCCCCTTTCCTATGGCAGCGTTGCCATCAGGCCCACACTTAGGAGTTGTAGAAAGGTGAGCAGGTCATTGAAGCTGGTTTTGAGGGGTACTAACAGAGATCTCAGAGGAGAAAAAAAAAAACATATTAGATAGGAAGAGAGACTGAAAGAGAGTATCAGTAGACTTTCTTCATCCTGTCTGTGAAGACAGGCTGGCCTCTCCTCTCTGTCTTGCAGGGCAAAAACAGCAGCACATTTCTTCTTATATCCAGTGCCATGATCTGATATCCTGGGGGACCTTGTGTGGGGCAAGATCCAGCATCTTTAGCAAGGGGTGCACCTGCTGTAGCGGTTGGAAATGCAAGAGAGGTCCAAGCCCCCCGAGCTGATGGGTACACCCTCAGAGCTGAGGATGCTGCCAACAGCAGCAGAGGTGGAGGATCCCACGGCGGTGTTCTGTGGGAAGGAGCTGAGGATGGGTCCGGGCAGGGTCACCACCACGGGAGAGGGCTGGATGACGATGGTGGAGGGCTGGCACTGCCTGACACAGGGCTCATTGCAGCTGCTGGCCAGAGGAGTCGGGCCGCAGGGCCGGCATGGCACGCACTGGTCACAGCAGGACATGTCTTGAGGCTTGAGTTGTACCTTAGTGAGAGAGCAGAGAGGAAGCAGAACATGGGGATATATGAGGAGATGACTGTCAACACACTATGAGGCTTCCAAGGCACATGCACTGCTAGGAGTTGAAGGCTGTGCAGGGATTGATATGTGCTTCATGGTCTCATCCTGCCCGAGTTTGAAAACAGCCAATATATCCAGGTAGTCTCTGGACTCTAGTCCACAAACTACTCACTCACAGGCCTTGGTGCCCTCCATGATGAATCTTGCCCATACTTCTGTCTCTCATGACAAACAGTCCCATGAAAAGAAAGAGCCTTCACACTCACCTGGTTCCAAAGAGAATGCAGGAGTGGTGGATGAGTGAGCAAGGAGCTGGGCTGCCTTTTATAATGGATATAAACTGTCCCAGGTCCAGAGGCATAACTTACAGCTGTAATTATTTTCTGACAAGACCCTCTTGAATGCAAATCATCCCAGTTAATGATATAGGCTGTACTATGGCTTCCTGTGCTGTTTAACCAGATTTCCAGTTTTAGTATGTCCATTCCTCAATGAAGGCATCTTTTGAGTGGCAGGAACAGAGGCCCAAATATTTCCAGGAAATAGACATCAATTTGGGCAAAAGACTCAGCTCTGAATTTAGCACCGCTCTGTCCTCCCCATGCCATGTCTTCAGCTCAGGCATTGCCAATTGCATGCCAATATTTGGTTGTTGCTAAGTGATGGGTCACAGTCTGTGGGTTGGACATACCTGTCTTATATGATGGAATTCTTTCTGTCATTACTCCTACCAGCCCACAGTACTGCTGGGCATCGTGCACTCCAGCTGTTTCCCTTTCTTCAGCTCCTCAGGATAACATGGCTTCTCAAGACTTTAATACAAGGCCCAACAGAGCAGAATCATCTTGACAAGATCAATGACTTCTATGTCTTCTGCAAGGCTCTTAGTGTACTTCTATTCTGAAGGCTCTCATGAGCTCATTTAGGGCATTGTCTTCAAATGAAATTTCCCCAGAATCCCTGCTGAAATGATTTCTTGTCTAAGTATACCATGTGACATGTTTCTGAATGTGTCCCCCACTTTTGTGCACTTGTCTGTACTGTGTCTGGCAGGGATAGAATTCTCTGGCTGTGGAGAGTGTATGCCCATTGACATGAGACAGAGGAAATGATGAGAAGGAAAATGGAAATGGCTGAAATACTATAGGTTTTTCCTCAGTTTTTATGGGTAAGTCTTGTCCTCAGGCCTACTGGGTCCCTGAGGTTCTTCACAGAATTTAGGGAGTGAAAAAATACTGCCCGTAAAGGAAGAAAACCTTATGGAACATTTGTTCCACTTGGTCAGACTTGTGTCCATGAGATGGGTGGGATGCATCCAAGGGGATTTGACCAGGTGATGCCATTTTAAGACTGCTCTCTGTCATCTCTCAAAGGTCATGATGGTTGAGGGATGGCCTTCCTAGCTAGGAAACAACAACAACAACAACAAAACAGGCATCACACTTATCTTCAGAAGGAGGAAGAACAATAAGATAGCTGAAAAAGATGATGATCCGCTGGGCTTTAACTTCCATGACCAGCTATTCAGAGTACAGCTGGGATTTGGTATCTATGAAAGTGTATCTCAGAGATCAGTACTTAATAGTATTTAATGATTCCAGTAATGGCCTGATGATGGGATAGTGTGTAAGTGTGGCATGCGTGTGGAGGACCCACAGCTGGGAAGAGCAGTCAGGATGCTATAAGGCAGGGCTGCTAGTCACAGGGACCAGGACAAGCTGGAGAAACACCCAGACTGGAATCACAGGTCTTTCAACAGGAGCAGGAGAAAGGCCTTGCATCTGGGGAGGAATAATGACAGGAAAGCATAACAGCTGTAGGCTGTCTTCCTCAGAAGCAGCTCAGAAGAAAACACTAAGTCTACGCTATGTATGCCAGCCTCCTACTGTGTGCACAAAAATGGTGCTGGGACCATGCTAGCCCTCTGACGGTGTGATGCAGGAGCTGTGACAGTCCCTTTGGCTTTCCTGGACCCACAAGCTTCCCTCTTAATGGAGGGCTCACTGTTCTCCTCCCCTAGGGCTTTCCCTGCTCTCAAATGCCGGTGCTGGCTGGTCTGGGTATGGGCAGGGAAAACAGTAACATTGTAGTATATCTGACTTTTGATTTATCCTCCTAGAGGCAATAAAATAAGTTTCAAGATTTTGCATCTTTTCAAAAAATTATTGTTTTCTCAGATTCTTTTTTTCTCTGCTCTCCTGTGAAACTCCTCCTTCAGGGCCACACTGCTTCTCTGTTTTATGTCCCTGATGGAGGAACTGGGGGCAGCTGTAATCACTGCATCCAGAGCAGCTCACATTCTATTCTTAAATTTTACTTTCTCCTCTGCTATTCCTTTTTAACACACTTGAGAGAAGGACAACATGATATAACTGTAGATGTCCCTGTTTATTGCAGCAGAGTTGGACTAGATGACTTTTAAAGGTCCATTCCAACTCAAACGATTCTATGATCCAATGAAAGTATGCCTTGACTTGTACAGATAGAGTAACTGGCCTTATGCAAGCCTGCCTAGCGCCATGAGATAATGAGGTACAAAAATGTGGCTGGGAAGGGCACTCTGACATTGATGGAGGCAATTCCTTGTATTGTGGTTAAAAGTGTGGGGAAGTGGGGACAAAGGTGGTAAAGGATCTTCTGGGTGCTGCTAGGGGCTGGCTGGAGGCTCTACAGTGCTCTGGAAAGGGCTGATGGAAAGACAAATCAGCACCCACAGGCATTTGTGCAAATCCATCACACAGAAGACACAAGCAGATGCTAATGGTCTTGTATGTGTTAATGACACTGTGTAGTACTCAGAGATACTACTTGGAGGGAACATGTACTGAGAGATTTGAAGAGGACACTGGAGCCACTGATGCTGACAAGACATGTCTGCTTTATTGGGCCTTCTGTTTAAGACTTGAGAAGTATTTATCCTGAGGAGCTTCAGAGAGGGAATCTTCTGCAGGGTGCTGTAGTCACCTGTGCTGTGAATTAGTGGGTATAATAATAGAAATGAGCTTCCATTACTGAAAGGAAAATATGTAAGATTTTTTCAGTTGTTCATTCAGAAAATAAACACCACCACAATATGGAAAGGAAGAAGGAGCTCTATGTGGAAAGGACCTATACAGTAAAACCTTGGAAAAATTCACCTGATTTTGTATTATTCTGCACAAAATTGGCATTCCTATCACATGAAGGGATATAAGATTAACTTGCTGTCTATATAGCTCTTCTTATTCTTTCTTATGAAACAGCCCTTTCATTCCACCATTTACTGTTAGGCCTTTCTTTTGAGATCTGGAAAGGACACTGCACAACCATTTGCCCCATATAAAGATCCTTGAGACAAAACAGGAGGAAACAAAGCAGGGAAGCAGAATTTTCCAGAGAAAAGTGTCAAGTGGGATAGGGTCTCACTCAGGAGATGGTACCTCTCTTGCCAGAAGATCTCCTAAAAACCCTTATGGAATGACTCGGGCTGACATCACTTGCCTTTGCTGGACTCTTCTAGCACATGAGCTGAATTTGTTGACCACAGTGGTGTTTGTTGTATGGAAATGCTTGGAACTCCCTTCATGCCACTCAAAAGATGCCTTCACTGTGGAATGGGTATGAAACATAACTGGAAATGAAACACAACTGCAAAGGAAGACAATGTACATTCTATATCATTATCTGGGATCACCATTTGACTTTGCTGGACTCTTCCATCACGGAAGCTGAATCTTTTGCCTAAATTAATATTTATTACCTCTCTTCCTGCCACTCAAAATTGAAGAATGGACATAGCAAAAACTGGAAATGAAATTAAACAGCATAGTAAGTGAATGAACAGTCTATATCATTAACTGGAATGTTTTTCATTCAAGAGGAGCTTGTCAGAAAATAATCACTGCTATAAATGATGCCTTCAGAGCTTAGGAAGCTTACATACACTATAAAAGACAGCCCAGCTCATCACTCTCTCATCCACCATTGCCTTTTCTTTGGAATCAGGTGAGTGTGAAGCTTCTTCTTGTTCCCCTCATTCTGCCAAGGAAGGTTACACAGTAGTGGATGACACAGCTGATATCAGCTATGTTCCATGACAAATCGTAGGACTGCTTCTCATAGGGAAGGGAAATAAGGAGGTTTGTCGTAGAAGGAATATGGGTCTGTAAGAAGATAGCTTGCAAACTAGAGTACAGAAATGAGCTGGATAGGTACTTTTAGCTACTTTGATACTTTCTGAGCTTGGGCAGCATGATAACAGTACAGCCTTAACTATCCATGCACAGCCTCCAGCTTCCAGCAGTTCATGGCTCCTTCATAGTGTATTGACAGTCATCTCCTCATATATCCCTATGTTCTGCTTCCTCTCTGCTCTCTCACTAAGGTACAACTCAAGCTTCAAGACATGTCCTGCTGTGACCAGTGCGTGCCATGCCGGCCCTGCGGCCCGACTCCTCTGGCCAGCAGCTGCAATGAGCCCTGTGTTAGGCAGTGCCAGCCCTCCACCATCGTCATCCAGCCCTCTCCCGTGGTGGTGACCCTGCCCGGACCCATCCTCAGCTCCTTCCCACAGAACACCGCCGTGGGATCCTCCACCTCTGCTGCTGTTGGCAGCATCCTCAGCTCTGAGGGTGTACCCATCAGCTCGGGGGGCTTGGACCTCTCCTGCATTTCCAACCGCTACGGCAGGTGCACCCCTTGCTAAAGATGCTGGATCTTGCCCCACACAAGGTCCCCCAGGATATCAGATCATGGCACTGGATATAAGAAGAAATGTGCTGCTGTTTTTGCCCTGCAAGACAGAGAGGAGAGGCCAGCCTGTCTTCACAGACAGGATGAAGAAAGTCTACTGATACTCTCTTTCAGTCTCTCTTCCTATCTAATATGTTTTTTTTTTTCTCCTCTGAGATCTCTGTTAGTACTCCTCAAAACCAGACTTTAGTGACCTGCTCGCCTCTCTTCATCTCCTGTCCAGTAAGTGTGAGCCCTGTGGCAACACTTCCATAGGAAAGGGGAACAGATTCTTGCCTGCTCCCCACACTTGGTGTATGCACTTGCAGTGACATAATTTTCTCTCTTCAGACTCATTAAAAACTTACTGCATTCTTTAGTGTGTCCTGATGTGTTTTTCTTTGTTTGTTTGTTTGTTTGTTTCCATCTGCCTAGAGGTGACCAAAGGAAAAAACCTGGATTTAGAAGGAGTTAGCTAGGTAAAAACTCCATCACTGTTCTAGATATTGGAGGCCAGTGCGCACTGCTGAGATTTCATCTTTCAGACTCCCTCTTTCGAAGCAGAGGAAACCATCCCTGGTTAGTCTGTAACCAGTGGCTCTCAGTCCTTCCCTTGATGTGTCTCTGCTTAGACATGTCCCCTAGAGCCTGGAGCACATCATGTGAATGGGAATCTTCACCAATGGCATCCTGTATCTGGCTTGGCCTTCTGTTGACTTCCTGGCTTGGCCAGGCTCCCTGCTGGTTCACTGCAGTGACTGGGTGGAGCCTTCAGTCAGGTCACTCCTGGGTCTGGACTTGTTCTGGATGCCAGCTCTCACTCTAGCTGAGAGATTTTCTTCACATAACACACACTGTGTCTGCCTTAGGGCAATTACTAGTATCGGTTGATACATTTGGTTGATATATTGGAGGGAAGGGAAGCCATTCAGATGGACCTAGAGAAGCTGGAGAAATGGGCCCGTATGAACACAATGAGGTTCAATAGGGTTAAGTGCAAGGTGTTGCACTTGGGCCAGGGCAATCCCAAGTACTTACACAGACTGGGCAAAGAATCCCTTGAGAGCAGCCCTGAGGAGAAGGACTTGAGGATCCCAGTGCACAAGAAGCTGGACATGTGCCAGCAGTGTGCACTTGCAGACCAGAAGTCCAACTATATCCTGGGTTGTGTTAAAAGAAGAGTGGCCAGCGGGGAAATGGAGGTGATTGTCCCCCTCTACTTGGCTCTTGTGGGGCCCCATCTGGAGTAATGCATCCACACCTGGGGCCCCCAGTACAGGAAAGACGCAGAGCTCTTGGAATGAGTCCAGAGAAGGACCACTAAGATGATCAGGGGGCTGGAGCACCTCTCCTATGAAGAAAGGTTGAGGGAACTGGGATCGTTTAGCTTAGAGAAGAGAAGGCTCTGGGGAGACCTCATTGTGGCCTCCCAATACTTGGAGGGAGCATATAAACAGGAGGGGGAATGGTTGTTTATGAGGGTGAATAGTGACAGGACAAGGGGGAATGGTTTTAAACTGAGACAGGGGAGGTTTAGGTTAGATATTAGGAGAAGTTCTTTACTCAGAGGGTGATGACGCACTGGAACAGGTTGCCCAAGGAGGTTGTGGATGCCCCATCCCTGGAGGCATTCAAGGCCAGGCTGGATGTGGCTCTGAGCAGCCTGGTCTGGTGGTTGGCGAGCCTGTACATAGCAGGGGGGTTGAAACTGGATGATCATTGTGGTCCTTTTCAACCCAGGCCCTTCTATGATTCTATGATTCTGTGATTCTATGATTCTATGATTCTGCCATTCTGTGATTCTATAATATCAGTAGGTGCTTCTGGGTTGAAATTACCTGTCATTTAAAAGTGAGGTCTGTGATAGACTAACAAACTCAAATTTTTGTCGTTCACCCTTCTCTTGAGAATGACAAAATCATCCTAGAGAATAAATTAGATTACTGATATCATCTTTCTTATTTCCATGCCTGCAGAGTATGTTAATTGATGAGAAAAACACATCTTATTTTCTCTGAAAAGCATAGAATCACAGAATCATAGGATATCCTGAGACAGAACCTAACCACAAAGGTCAGTGATTTCACCTGAAGCCTCAGCACATGGCTAATGCAAAATTAAACCATGTGTCTGAGGGCATAGTCCAAATACTTCTTGAACTCTAGAAGGCTTGGCGCTGTGCCTATTTCACAGGAGAGCCTGTTCCAGTACCTAAACAATGCTAGTGTCAAATGCAAAGCAAATTTTAGCAAATATTGCAAAAAAGCTATTCATAAAATGAGAATGACAGTGACACATGAGGCACAAGTGGAGAATACCTTCTGCTGAGTAAAAGTAGAGGTAGCCGAGAGAACTGCAAAGATGATGCTGATGTCAGAAATTAACATGAAAAGCTGAGTGCTTTGAATGATGAGGATAGGAACCATAAATTCAAGGGTTTAGCCCCACATGCCAACCTCAGAAGAGGAATAAAATCATAGTAGAGACAGTGATGTTCCTGCTACCCAGTCTGTACCAGTACAACAAGAAAAACATTGAGATCTTCAGGTGCTGGTCACTTACCCCTTTGACAAAAATGAGGCCATCAGGATTAAGAAAAACATGGAGCAGATAATCACAAGTGCCACCTGGGATGTTTTGTTTAGCCCAGGAGAATGAATTCAGTCACAAATATCCTGTTCTCTTTTGCCATGGCTCTACAGTTTCAGGAGATGATGTCAGAATGAGGTTTTATAGTTGAATAAGAGCAGCAACAAGCTTCAAACAGGTTATCTTTTCCTGGCTTATGTGGGTCTTTCCATGGCCTCTGCTGATCACTGCTGGCATCGATCTCTCCATTCTCTGTCTCCCTCACTTCTTCCACAGACACAGATATAGAAAGATTTGACCATCCTTCTCCAGGCATTCATTCAGCTATTCTTTACTTCATGACTGTTCTGGAAGTGAGCTACAAATTACAGTCTCCAAAGTACAAGTATATTTTCTTGTTCCTGATTTTTTCTTTTGTATCAGTTTCCAGTAATGAAGAAAGTCTGATTAATTTTCTGTGGCAGAAATCTGTCCTGTAGTGTAAGACATAGGAATACTTTCTGTTAGTGTCTTTCTCCATGTTGATTGAATAGATGAACACACACACACATGCAAGCATACACAGATTTCAGGTGGGACAGGAAAAAAGACCAAGGTACGGATGTGAGAGATGAAGCTTGTGTAGGAGGGAGATCTTCCACCTCTGCACAGAACTGCCCTTCCCAGAGAATTTTGGCTTCTTCCAAGCCTTCCTAATGCTTCTGAGGTTTTTCCAGCATCCTTTGAGGAAAATAAGAGCTGTTGTATGATGAGTGGAAAGTGTAATTGGGGCCATGACTGGTCCTGGCTACATCTCTTCAGGTTCAAAGCATCAAGGCAGCAGGGCTGAGGAAGTCCAAAGAAAAGCACAGCACAAAATGTGTGGGTGATCATATTTCCTGGAGCAATACATGCATTTGAGGAAGCAGGAATTTTAGGCAGTTTGGCAACAGTAGCAGAAGATCACTCTGTGGAACTCAGAAATATGATCTGTAATGCCTCCAAAGGAAAATTTTCTTCTAGTAAATGCCAAATCATTTTGTCTAGGCATGTTTTTTAAGGGAAAGCTTTTCAAAGAAAAGAGTGTTTGTGTTTTTCCCCCCAACTAGAAAATGAGTCTGGAGTTCCCCTGATTTCCCTTGGGCTCTGGGGTACTGCAAAAAAAATCTGCACTTCATCCAAGCCTGAATGAAGAGGAAGGGCTGTTCTTGGGACATCTCTCCTGTGATGTGGCATTTCGGAAATGACTTCCCGGATGATTTTGGGTGGTGATGCAGCTGGGGTTGCCCCAGGACATTTCCAGTGTCACTTGTGTTTTGTTGAAGCCATTGGCCCCAGAGAGTGTCATCAAATCCCTCCTACCAATCTCTCTAGGCATTCCCTTCTCTCCCAGTTGCTGAGAAAGAGCTCTGTGAATCTAACAGCTACTTCATCCCAAGAAGCTAGCAGAGTCTCATAGAATTGTTCTTTTACCTTTTTCAGGAGCCAGAATGACATCATGAAAAGGGATGAGCCGCTAAAAGCAGCCAGAAGGAACTAAGAAATGACTTAGGGGCTGTGGGCCAGCATCAGTTGCCTGTACTAGACACACTGGACAACAGCAGATGAGTCTTCTGCAATCACTGTCTCATTCCTGGAACAGAAATTCTGGGGCTTTTCAATTCCAGCACTCAGAAAAAGAATTCAGCAGGGAATGGGTGTAGCAAAAGCCAGAAAATGAAAAGGCAGAGTAAGTGGAAACAGACATGCAGCCTATGTCATTAGCTGGGATGTTTTCAATTCATTGTGAATACTGGAGGGAATAATCACTTCTGTGTATGATACCCCCAGGCTGAAGGCTGTTCAGAGCCAACATATTCTTAAAAAGTATCTGAAGTGTCATAGTGAAGCCAAGAAACACTCTTGCCTCTCTGTGACATGCTCTACTATGACCAGTGCCTGCCATGCCCATTCTATGGTACGACCTCACCCGCCAACAGCTGCAAGTAACTCTGTGTCAGGCAGGGTAAAAACTATACTGTCATCATTAATCCCTTTCCCATGACAGTGGCCCTGCTTGGCCCCATCCTCTTACCTGCAGAACACAATTGTGGTATACTTTACCTCTGCTGCAATTGGCAGCATCCACAGCTGTGATGGAATCCCTATCACCCCTGGGTGCTTCAATATCTCCTGCATTTTCAGACATTACTATGGCAGAAAGTGCTCCCCATGCTAATGCTATGTTCCCAATCTTCTGCTCTTTTCCTTATATTCCCTTCTTCTGGGTGTACAATTTCCTAAAGCCAAACTGAGTGATATGCTGTCCTCTCTTACTCAATGGGACTGACAGATGGATGTCCTATATGATCTTCACCATGGGTAATGGACACCGATTTTTGGCAGCTCTGGTGATGTCCACATAACAGCTCCCTTTGGAAGAAAACTCTTTTCCTTTTTCAGAGTCACTAATGTTTCCTGCATCCCAGCTTCTGCCTCCATGTGATCCTTTTTCATGGTGGTCTCAAGTTGCTGGGAATGAAGGGCAGCCCTGGACTGCACATGATAAGGTGAGGACTCATGGGAGTCTTTCATCAAGTGGAAAGCATTTGACACTGTTCTCAAGACATCCTTGTCTCTAAATTGAAGAGACATGGATTTGACAGATGGCCCCCTGAGTGAATAAAGAATTGCCAAGATGGTCACACTGAGAGAATTGCAGTCAATGGTTGATATCCAGTTTGAGTGACAAGTAGTGTACACCAGTTGTCCATACTGAGACCACTAGTAGCCTTTTTTATTACATGCTATTGGGGATGAGTGCCAACTCTCAGCATGTTTTCAGTCAGCACCAAGTTGTGTTGTGCAGCTGACATGATGGAGGTAAGGGATGCTATCTAGAAGAAACTTGACAGGCCCATGCAAGCCTCATGAAAATCAAGAAGGCCATATGCAATGTGGCTGGTGGCCGTCCTAAGAACAAATATAGACAAATGGATAGAGGGCAGCCCATAGCTCCATAGAAGAGCTTAAAGGTATTGGTTGTTGAAAAACTTCGCATGAGCCAGCAGTGTGTTCTTTCATCCCAGAAAGACAGCAGTGTCCTGGGCTGCATTAAAACAAGCACGATCAACAGTTCAAGGGAAGTGATTCTCCCTGTCTACTCTCACAGGAGACCCTACTAGGAATACTGTGTTAAGCTCTGTGATAGTCAACATAAGAACAACATGGACCTGTGGGAGCAAGCCCAGAGGAAGGCCATAAGTATGATTTGACATGGCTGGAGGACCTCTACTGTGAAGAGAAGCTGAGACAGCTGAAGTTATACAGTCTAGAGAAGAGAAGGTTCCAGGGAGACATCACTGCAATATTCCAGTACCTAAAGTGTACAAGAAAACAGAAGAGGGACTCCATATCAGGAAGCATAACAATGGGACATGGGGTAAGAGCTTTTATCTGGAAGAGTATAGGTTGTATCAGATATTAGGAAGAACTTACAAGAATGGGGAGGCACTGGAATAGGTCACCTAGAGAAACTGTGAAAACCACATTCCTAGCAAGGTTCAGGGCAAGCTGAGAAACATGGTTTAGTGCAGGATGATCTTCAGGGTCCTTCCAACACAAAACATTCTATGATTCTGTGATCACATTGGCAATTTCAAGAATGGTCATCCGGACCTAGATAAAAGCACATATTTAGTATATCCAAAGATACACACACAGAGACTTGTGCAGAGGTTACTTGACAATTCCCCTGCTTCAGACTTCTCTAACAATAAAGGTTTGATGAGTTTCATTTTCCCTGAGGTTTTGGTGATCAATATGAGGTAATACTTAGATACACACTGCAATATTACACACCAACAGACAAAAGCTAACATTACTAGAAATGCAGTTATGACTTTCTTAATCCATAATCTTAAATCAAGTGACCAAAAAGTCAGCCTTCTTCAAACCCAGAAGAAGTATTGCCTTTTTGAACCCCATGCAATATTTTTGTCTATTTCCATATTTCTTCCAAATCTATAGAAATCCTACCCCTTCAATCTACATAGAAGCAATAATTAGTGTTAACTGCTTCAAAACCTCCTTCTTCTGATGCCAAATTCTGTGCTCAACATGTTCCAGAAAATGAGAACAAGCCCATTAATTGCTCTTATTAACAATCTGAAATGCCTTTTGGATGAATTCACGAAACATATTCTGATCCCATGAGTTTCCTGGTACGCTTTCCAAAGGCAACAGGGAACTGTGTCATAGTTTTATGATTTTTGTTATCAGTATTCCACATCATAATATCATGTAGTGCACTGGTAGTCAAAGAGTTAATGCTGCAGTTCCATGGATTGTTGATAGTTCTGGGTACCTTTCACAGAAGAGAAGAACTGCATCTCCCAGAAGACTTTACTGTTCCATTTCCATTTTCCATTCAGAGGGAAAGGAAAAACTGCTTGGGAGTCATGAGATTGACCCTTATTTTTCTGCTTGTGTCTTTGGTGTGTCCTCATACAACATCCCCTCTAAATCCTTCAATATCTTTGTAGTCCCACTTTGGACATCATATAATAGTTTATGTCCTGTTTGTATTGTGGCTCTCAAAACTGCATGCAGTACTCAAGGTGAGGCAGCATCAGTGCAGTGGCCAGTGGGACAATCACTTCTCTTGACTGTCTAGCAATGCTGTGCATAATGCACCCTAGGATATAGTTGGTCTTCCTTGCTGTCTGAGCACAATGTTGTCTTGTGTTCAACTTGCTGTTAACTTAAATCCCTAAATTTCTTTCTGTGTAGCTGATCTCAAGTGTCTCATTCCCCAGACTGTATGTACAAGCAGGGTTGTTGCCCCTTCCTAGGTGCAGAATCTGGCACTTGCTCTTGATAAACTTCATGTGGTTGGTGATTGGCCAGATCTCTAATTTGTCTAGACCTCTCTGCAAGGCCACTCTATTGATGAAGTCAGCAGTTCCTCCCAATTTAGTATCATCAACCAAATTGTTCAAAGCAACTTCTAGTCCTACATCCAAGTCATTTATGGTATGCCCACCTTTTGAATTTGACAGGATGCCTTTGGATGGCATTCCTTTCTTCTGACATATGAACTGCATCACTCAGCTTTGAAGTGTCCACAAACTTGCTGAGAATGTATTAGATCCCATCATATATGTCGTTGATTAAGATGTTTCAGACTACCAGTCCAAATATGAACCTCAACCTGGACACAGTCATCAACAACAACACTCTGGCTATGACCACAAAACCAATTCCTCATCCATCAAATATTCCAACATTTGAACCCAGATCTCTCTGATTTTGAGATAAAGATGTGCTGAGGGATGATGTCAAAGACTTTGCATAAGTCTAGATAGATGACTCTTGCTTTCCATCTCAGATCTTCTTTCTTATTAAAACAGCACTTCTGTTACATCTTTCGATGTTGGGCCCTTTTTATGTGGTCTGGAAAAGACACTGCACAACTTCCTGCCCCATACCAAGGTCACTGAGGCAAAACAGGATGAGACAAAACAGGGTGAGACAAAACAGGGCAGAAGAACTTTCTAGAGAGCAGTGTAGAAAGGGTCACACCCAGGAGCTGGTACACTTCTTGCCAGAAGGGCCCCTAAAAACCACAAAGGAGTGACTCAGGCTGACATCATCTGCGTTTACTGGACTCTACTACCATGTGAGCTGAGTGTGTTGCCTACACCAATGTTTGTTGTGCAGAAATGCCTGGGCCTCCCTTCTTGTCACTCAAAAGATGTCTTCAGTGGGGAATGAGCATGACCTAAAGCTGGAAATTAAACAAAGCAACACAGGAAGCCAGCACATGTCCCATATCATCATCTGGGATGTTTTGCATTCAAGGGGAGTTTGTCAGAAAATAATTACTGCTAGAAGTGATACCTCTGGTCAGCTTGGGTCCACTATAAAAAGGAGTCCAACTCTTTGCTCCCTCATCCACTACTTTTGACTCCTTCTTGGGAACCAGGTGAGTGTGAGGCTCCTTCTTGTCTCTCTCAATCTCCATCAGAAGGTCTGAGATCAGTGTACCTCTTATTTGCTATCAGCATGATTCTGTGCAAAATCTCAGGGCTGTTTCTCATGCAAGAGGTTTGGCATGGAGGGAGATTGAGTCTGTACTGCGGGGGCTTCTGGACTAGGATCTAAGAAGTAGTTGGATAGGCACTGGGTCGCTCTTTCTGGGTCCTGGAAGGAACAGGCCAAGAAACCCTCGACCATCCCTGCACAGCCTCCACCTCCTGGCACTTCATGTGCATGGTTCCCTGGTGATGGAATGGCAGATTCTCCCTCACTCTCCACTTTGTTTGCCTGGCCCTCTCTCTCAACAGGTACACATCTGGCCTCAAGACATGTCCTGCTGTGACCAGTGCGTGCCATGCCAGCCCTGCGGCCCAACTCCTCTGGCCAGCAGCTGCAATGAGCCCTGTGTCAGGCAGTGCCAGCCCTCCACCATCGTCATCCAGCCCTCTCCCGTGGTGGTGACCCTGCCCGGACCCATCCTCAGCTCCTTCCCGCAGAACACCGCCGTTGGATCCTCCACCTCCGCTGCTGTTGGCAGCATCCTCAGCTCTGAGGGTGTACCCATCACCTCGGGGGGCTTGGACCTCTCCTGCATTTCCAACCGCTACTGTGGCAGAAGGTGCACCCCTTGCTAAAGATGCTGGACATTGCCCCAGATAAGGACTCCCACGATCTCAGGACATGGTGCTGGACAGAAGAACAGACTTTGTGCTGCTGTTTTCAGAGTAGATGACCATCTGTGGCTTACCCTGTCAGGACAGACAGAAGTGCCAGCCTGGCTTCTCTGACAACATGGCCAAAGTCTACCGATACTTTCTTCCACTCATTCTTTCTATCTCTTTCCTTTGTTATTTTCTCCTTATCCCCAGAACTCTCTGTGAAGGCCCCAGAAACCAACTGAGTGACGTAGTAGCCTCTCTGGTTTGATGAGCAGTTAGATGGATGCCCTGTGGCAGCTCTGCCATGGGGAAAAGGCAACAGATTCTTGTCTGCTCCTGCTGCTCCCTGCACTCAAAGTCTCCACTTACTGACTGACATTATTTCTCTCTTTAGATTCATTAAACATTTGGTGCAACTCTCATTGTGTCCTTCTGTGGTTAATTCCTTCTTCTTTTTAATATGATCAGGTGAGAAAACAACTACTTCAAAGGAATTAGCATAGATTCATCACTCCCCTGGGCACTGGAAGGTGGGGCACACTGTAGACATTCATCCTTCAGTCAAGGCCATGTCTAAATCTGTCTTGCACCTGATGCATGCAGGTAGCTGCTGCAGGCCTTTTTATAGCTCTTCAAGATAAGATACATGCTTTCTAAGTCTTAAATGGAAGACCTAACAGAGCAGACATATGTTGTCAGCATCAGTATCTCCAGTGTCTTCAAGTTTCTCAGTACATCTTTCTTCTCTGTGCAGTCTCTCTGAGTACCATACAATGTCAATAACATATACAGGAACATTAGGATATGCTTTTGTCTGCGCGCTGGATTTGTGGAAATGTCTGTAGGTGCAGATTTTTGCAGAATTCCATTCATATGTTCATGAACTGGTGCTCAGGCTGCAGTCCATGACCTTTTCCTGTGGCCAGCTTCCTGGAGCTGTGGCAGTGCTAGCTGATCTGTGTGGTGGCTCATCCTGTTCTGACCTATGTTGGGCACAGCCATTGTACCAGGGCACAGCAACATTGTATACCCCAACCCATCCTGTTCTGTTCTGCTGCCCTCCTTCCTACCCTTCTTGCAGCATAGTGGGTTGGGATGCTGCATGCAGGCAGCTGCTTTCTTCTCCACCAAAGAAGCTTTCACAGCTCTCCCCCAGCTCTCTGTACACATGCCTATCCTGAGAAGTAGGATGGGAAGAGAACAGCTTTCAGCAGACAAAGTCTGTGAAGAGGTGCCCAACACTCACATTTCACTTCAGATTCCTCTAGCTTCTGCTGTGCTTCTGTTTAGAATCCCTCAGCCCTGCTGCCTGGGTGCTCTGGTCATGATGAGGTAGGTCAAGAACTGTCCATGGGCTTACATCCCTACCCACGATATAGTACATCCTATTTCCCAAAGGATACTTGAAAGAATCCCAGTTTCTCTGGGAAGTACAGATCTGTGCAGAGCTGCAGGAGTTCCCCTGTGCAAAAGCCTCATACCATTCTCTTGGCCTTCTCTCCTGCTCCACGGGGAGCTCATGTTCACTTGTTCCATCAACACAGAGAAAGACAGATAACATCCTTACAGCAAAGTGTTCTGTCATGACTTGCCCTGCAGCCTAAGCACAAAGTCCCATGTCCTGGGGAGTTTCAGCAGCCTTGACATCTGTATAGGAAAGTCTTTGCTGGTATTCTGTGGGCAAATAGTGGCATTACTGATATTTCTCAGGAATGTGATCTATAAATCCTCATCTTTGATTCTTCTTCCCCCTCCTCCACTGCCAAGCACTGGATGTCCATGTCATGAAAGGTCCAGAAAGGCCGGATATTTCTCAAGCAGAAAATCTTAAAGGTGCAGGAACAGACTGTTCCATAGTGCTGTAAGATGAGCCAGTGAGGAAGAAGACCTGCTAGGCAGAACAGGGAGCTTGTGCTGAGACTCTGGAAATAAAAGAGAGTTTATCATTTTCTGAAGAAGGATAAGGCAACTTGGGAAGAGTACAAGGCTGTTGCTAGCTTGTTAAAAAGGGAAAATTAGAATGGCAAAAGCCCAGTGCCTCTGTTTCAACACTACAAGTGTGAGCTAAATCTGGCCACCACTGTTCAACAAAATAGAAAATGTTTTACAAATATAGTAACAAAAAGAGGAGGGTCAAAGAGAATCTCCTGCCTTTACTGGATGCTGTGGAGAACATTATCAGCGAGGATGAGGAAAAATTGAGGTTCTCAATGCCATCTTTAGCTATGTCTGTAACAGTCAGGCTAGTTATCCTCAGAGTATTCAGCCCCCTGAGCTGGAAGACAGGGGTGGGGAACAGAATGAAACACCCATGATTCAGATTCACCCACAAAACAGTCAGTGACTGTCAGTGACTACTCCATCTGACTGTCACAAGTCCATGGAGCTAGGTGGGATCCACCCAAGGGTACTGATGGAGCTGGCAGGGGTGCCTACCATGCAGCATTCCATTATTTGCTGGCAGTTAGTCCTGGTCAAATGAAGAGGTCTCAAATGACTGGAAGCTTGTCCATGTGACAACCTTCTGTAAGAAAGGTTGGAAAAAAAGATCTGGGTAACTACAGATCTTTCAGCCTGACCTTGGTATGGTCAGGGAAGGTCATGGAAAAGATTATTTTGACTGTGACCATGTTGCATGTGCCAACAAGGGCTCAAGAAAGGCAGGTCCTGCTTGACCAACCTGATCTCTTTCTATGACCAGCTGACCAGCCTAGTAGATGAGATACAGTCTACCTAGAAAGGCCTTTGACAAATATTCTCCCACAGTATTTTCCCACACAAGAAGGCAGCCAATAGCTTGGAGAAGTGTACCCTTCCCTGGATAAAAAAAAACTGGCTGGAGGGTGGGGCCCAGAAAAGAGTGGTAAATGGAGTTAAATCCAGCTGATGATTGGTCACAAGTAGTGTTCCCAAGGGGTCAGTACTGGGGCCTGCTCTGTTAAATAAATTTATTATATGGATGAGGGGATGGAATGCACCCACAGTAAGTTTTCAAATGAAACCATGTTGGGGGAAGTGTTCAACTGCCTCTAGAGTCCTACAACGGGAATGTATCAGGATGGATCTATAGGCTGAGGCTATTTGTACGAATTCTAACAAGACCAAGTGCTGAGTCCTGCACTTTGGCTACAAAAACCCCCTGCGTCACTACAGGCTGGGGACAGAGTGGTTGGAAAACTGAGTGGACAAAAAAGATCTGTTAGTGTTGCTTGACACATGGCTGAACGCAAGCCAGAAGAGTGCTCAGCTGGCCAAGAAGGTCAATGGCATCCTGGCTTATTTCAGAAAGAGTGTAGCCAGCAGGATGCGGGAGGTGATTGTTCCTATGTATTCAGCAATGATGAGGCTGCACCTAGAGTACAGTGCTCCATTTTGGGCCCCTCACTACAAGAAAAAACATTGAGGCCCTGCAAATGTGCTCAAAGAAGGGCAACAAAACTGGTAAAGTATCTGGAGCACAAGTCTTACGAGGAGCAGCTGTAGGAACTGGAACTGTTTAGTCTGGAGAAAAGGAGGCTCAGAAGAGACCTTACTGCTCTCTACAGCTACCTTAAAAAAGGTTGAAGTGAGGTGAGGATTGGCCTCTCCTCCTAGGTAACTAGCAGTAACACATTGGTTTTAAGTTGTTTAAGGTGTTAGGAAATTTTCTGCTACAATCAGCTTGCTCAATCATCTTTATTAAAAAAAGAGAGAGGAGGGACTTCAGCTCTCTTCATTCAAATAAAGGGAGAGTCTGCTGTGGCCCTGTGGGATCTCTCAAAGCACTGGGGTGCACAGCCCCTCTTTTATCCCTGTACCCTGACGCTGGAAGGCCCTTTCCCATTTGCTGAAGTACTTCAGTGCTCATTCACCCCCAGCAGCTGCTCCTCTTTGTTTCCTTTGTTTATACATACATTATAATCTGGATTCAGATTTTGTTGTTTCACCCAACTAGGACTATATTTGTATCCTGTAAATTCTATCAATCTTTCTTCTCTCCAGTAAACAAGATTTACTTGCAGGTGCTAAGATAGCATGCCCTGTCATATGCTTGCAAGATAAGTTGTTTTAACCAGATCCTTCTGACCAAAACATTTCTTCTGGCCTTTATCTTGTTTTGCAGGAACCCCAATCCTTACTTCGTTCTTTCTGAATTTTATTTACAAGGACTCTTTAACTTTGTTTTTCCTTCACAGGGAAGGTTCAGGTTGGAACTAGGAAAAAATTATTCTCAGGAAAGGTAGTGAGTTATTGGAAAAGGCTGCCAAAGCAAGTGATGGAGTCTCTGTCCCTGTAGGATCCCAAGAAAAAGATGCGCAAAGCCTAGCTCTCAGCAAATCGAGCCCCGCAACCCGCGCACAAACCCCCAGCACTCGCAGCCCCAAGTAAGCCCGAGTGACGCCGGCGCAGGGCGCAGTCCCGGGGCGGAGCTGGCGGCGGCGGCGGGGAGGAGGCGCCGCGGGCGGAACAGAGCCGGGGCTGGCGGGGGCGGCGCGGCGCGGGCGGCGGAGCGGCGGAATGCGGCAGTGCCGGGCCGCGGGGCTGGCCGCGGTACTTCTGGGTGCGCGGGGCTGCTGCCGGCGGGGCCGGGAACTGCGGGAGGCCGGGGCTGCTCTCGCCTCTGTCCTTTCGGCTTCTTTCAAATCTCGTGCCACTCTCTAGTACCCGCTGCATTCAGCCCGACTGATTCCTGCGAGCCCAACCTACCGATCTTTTCCGACCGGCCTTTCTCCCTGCGCTACTCCATTCCTTTAAAAATCACTCCCCTCGCTGCTGCCTCCTGTACGGCCTTTTCCTCTCATTCCATTCACCTTCTGGATTGGATCCCTGTGACATTTTCTGTTGGGAGGAAAGGGATTTTTTGAGTTTGTTTCTTCTTTTCTGCTCGGTAGTGGCTGTGAGCAGAGCCCAGGTGCAGCAGGAGCCGTCGGCAGAGACCAGCGAGCATCAACATCACCTGCTCACTCCCCAACATACAAGCCGGAGATTACATCCAT